TTGACCTGGGTGTCCACCAGCGTCTCCTGGATGGCTTTCCGCTTCTCCAGGAGTTGTTTGTGTTCGTCAACGTTGAGCATGCCGAGTTTAATGGAGAGCCACTTTAAAGTGCCCCACCACTTCTGGAGCTTCGCCGGGGTGACCTCCAACGTGACCGCCTGGTTCATGAGGTGCCGGACGTCGCCGGCCGTCCAGGGGAGGTTCTGGAAGCCGATCTTGCGCATGCCCTCATAGGCCAAGCAGTGTGCCCGGATGGTACGGAACCGGGCATCACCAAAGAGGTGGCCAAACTCCTCCAGCTCCCTGGCCCCCATCACCTGGTGCATGTAGGGGATCTGGTGCCGGAAGGGGATGAAGTATCCCAGGAGGCGTTCCAACCACCTGGCCCTCAAGTGTTGTTCCAACGCTCTCTGAGATGTCGGCAATTGGGTTTTGATCTTCCCTGGTTTCCAATGCCGCCACTTGTTGGCCACTGCCAGGACATCCGGGGCCTCAATCGATCCGGAAAGGATCCACTCTTCGCGGTCCCGGATGGCCTGTTCCATTTCCAGTGGAGAATAGGTGTGCGATTGCCTGGCGCCTGCCGCACGAAACAGAAGTTGTTGCAGGGTCTTAGTAGCGAGCTCCAAATCCGCCTCCTCCAGCGGTTGTGGTTGGGAGCCGAGTATCCTCGCGAGGATCAAGTTGTAGGTGTCCGAGGCCACCAGGACGTGGTTGCCGTCAGGTGCCAGCCCCACGATCCGTGTCCACGGCCGCGGGTCAAAGACCACCGCATCCGGGTTGGCGACCTTGTCCTTTTTGACCCATTCCAGGCAGCACGCCACGAGGATTTCCCCGTCCGACTGCACTGGTGCAAATCCAAGGTCATGCAAAATCAACTGGAGCGCGGTTGGCGCCCCTAGGAAGGTCGTCCCAAACGGGGAAGGGAGGCGGGGCCTCCACATCATCATGATCCACTCGAGCCGGGGGCCTAGTCCCTAGGTGCAAACCCCAACCAAACAACAGGGGGCCCCCCAAAACCCCGGAAAGTCAACCCCGAAACGGAGGAAACGGGGGAAAAAGGGGGACCCAGGGAGCCGCCCCGAAAAGGGAAAACCAAACAAGAGAGGGGAACCAAGGCGCACCCCGGATCAGCCCAAGCCGCGCCAATTTTCCTCGCCTGGTGCAAGTCTGGGCCTGCGCTGTTCCCTGGGGGGGGATATCAGCGCCTTCGGCAGCTGTCCCCCCCCCGGGGTGCGCTGCGCATCCGTTCCGGATGGCCGCGGTCCTGGATGGTGTGCCGGAAGATGGCGTTGTCCCGCATCATCACGCGGCCCCCTTCGCGATGTCATCGATGCGCTTGAGCGCAGCAGCCTCCGGATTCCGCAGAATCAGCTCCCAGATGGCATTGGAGACGTGGCCTGTCTGGGTGGTCTGGCTGAATCTGAACCTGGGCACCTTCTGGTCCACGATGGAGACGTCCCGCAACGGGGCCGAGGGCTCCACCCGGCGGTAGTACTCCAGCCGCTCCTTCACCCAGCGGTTGTAGAGGCCCTCCGGCGGCTCGTCCAACACCAGCTGCAAGATGGCCTTGCCGGCCCGGATCTGGAGGAGGCGGGTGCCCCCTCCCCCGGCACGCCAGTACCCCTTACAATACTTGCACATGTAGCCCCCCCGGGTCTCCCCTTTTGTCTTCGGGATGAGTTCCCACGGGGTGACGGAGCTCAGGACCAGGCCACACTCCATGTGCGCCCAGAAGACATGCTTCATCTCCACCGGATAGTTCTTCTTCCGGTAGTCCTTACCCACCACGCCGTGGACGTTGTCCGCCGTGATGGGGGGGTAAACGATCCCCTCATCGCCCTCGCCTCCCCTGGGGCGGATGTCAGGGCCATCGGCACCTGTCCGGCACCCAGGGGCGGAGGGGTCCAGGCCCATCAGCTTGATCATGTCGTTGGTGTAGCCGAGCTTGCGGTAGATGGAGGGGGCCACTGAGTCGGGGACTGCGCCGACCCACCACTGCTTCGTGTTGCAGCGCCAGTTGACCTTCACCTCCGCCAGGGCCCCCGGGCCTCCAATGCGGTCCATGAGGGCCTTGTACACCTCTGGGAACTGCTGGAGGCTCTCCACCGGGACCGAGATGCGCTCGTCGCATACCGCCCGCAGGATCATCTGCTCCTTGGAGTCCGCCACGTCCTGGACCGGGAGCTGCATCACCTCCGCCGGGGTGTCCGTGAGGAAGGCCCGGGCCGCGAGGACCTTGCCCATGGCCCGGTAGACCAATCGCCACTCCGGTCCTGTCTGCGGAAACGGAAGGCCCTCCTCCTTCAGGAAGCACCGCGCGTCCTCCTTCAGGGTCTCCCAGCCCTCCAGGCGGGTCTGATTCTGGGCCTTGTTTTTCGGGCCCCGCTGCCTAGGGCCCTGCAGCAGTGGCAGAGACTCCCAGACTCCCCAGAGCTGGCGCAGGGTGTAGCTGTGCCCGAACATCCCCAGTAGGCCTGGGAGTGTCCAGGACGAGATCTGGCGCATCCAGTGGAAGTCCTCATCCGGATCGTGGGGGGCAGCCCAAAAGATGGATCGCAGGTCCCCAGGGTAGGGTCGGTCCCCCGCCTTCGCCTGCTGGTTCAACTCATCAACGGAGTACCTGGCCCAGGGGAGTCCACCCACCTGGTGGTTCCTGGGATGCGTACCCTTCTCCAACGCCTCCGGATTCACCTTGGTGAGGTTTTTCGCCCAATCCGGGACGTGTACCGGGCCCGGTCGTCGGACGAAAGATACGGACCGACCCGTTTGCTCATCATCCAGCGCAGGACCGAGAGCTGCACCTCCGGGTCCTTGGTGTCCAGGCCCACCGGGGTGGCGGACGGCTTGTCAGGGCCCTCGGCACCTGAGCTCGTCACGCCAGAGCCCGAGGCTGGGGGGATGGTGGGCGGCCTGTCAGGGCCCTCGGCACCTGGGCGCGCCGCACCAGAGCCCCCCGCCTTTGGCATGGGGATCCCTGTCAGGTCCGGCAGATCTGACAGGAGGGCCGCCGGGAAGGGATTCCTACCCAGCGAGATGACCGCCTTGGCCTCAAGGTAGGAGTCCGTGAGGGATGTGAGGTCGTCCATACTGAAGTCCCTCCATGCCGTTGTCGGCTCGAAGACCCCAGTCTCAATGGCGACCCGGACCTCACTAGGCCACGCACTGAAGGGAGGCGCGATGGGCTCGAGCATTCTGGTTTCGAGGGAGCCCTTCGCCTGTCTGGCTTGGTGTTTCGCTTTCGCCTCCTCCGCAGTGGTCTGGGCCTGGAGGAGCTCCGGTGTGGGTCTCCCCCAGTCCGCACCCAGCTTGTCCAGCAGCTTCTCACGGAAGAGGTCCAAGTCCAGGTTCTTCAGGAGCAGGCCTCCATCACCTCCTCCGTCAATGGCCCCCCCTTGAAGTTCGTGGAGGACCGCCGCGGAGCGCTCCACCGCTTCCACCTGGTCCGCCTTCTTGGCCTCCTCCTGGGCGATGGTGGTGGCGTTGAGCCGGGTCTGAATCTTGAAGGCCTTCACCGCAGACGGGTGGAAGGCTCTGCATTCCTGGCCCTCTTCCTTGTCGCCTGGCAATGGGGGCCTCTCCCCCGGTGGGGCCGTCAGAAACTCCTCGTCCAGCTCCATGGGGCAGTTCCTGATCACCGCCCGGACCGAGGAGGGGACGAAGTCCGAGAAGCTGGCCTGGTCCGGGTTCTCGCAGGCCATCGGGTCGGTGGCCAGCTCGCTGACGTCCACCGAGGCACTGAGCTTGAGGTCGCGGGCCCGGTCCGTGTCAGGGCCTTCGGCACCCGCGGACCGGGCCGCCGTCCAGACCGCATTGCCCTGGTCATCCACCGTCAACTGCCAATGCGTGCCCGCCATCTCCAGGGTGGCCGAGTTGGTCGCCGTGTCAATGGGCTCCGTCTTCTTGCCGCACCCCATGCACTTCGTGGCGCCCTTCTTCACCCAGGGCATGGTGCAGCAGGGGCAGATCCAGGATGTGGGCACCTTGCCCAGGGGGCGGTTCTCCAGGCCCCCGTACCCCAAGCCAGCGCGCTTGCCAACCTGCTGTCCCGGGGTGCTGAGCCGGGCCTCATGCTCGTACTTCATCTTGGCGATGTAGAAGGCCTCCACAACGCGCTCCAGGCCCCCCTGCTTGAGTTGGGGGCCCTCAAAGCCTCGCAGGAGCCGCTGGACGTCCTTGGCCTGCAGTCGGCGGAGCCTAGTGGCCGTGGTCGCATCGAAGCAAGGGAAGTCGCCCGCCATCTGGTCGTCGCTGAACTGGTAGAGGCCCTCCGAGACCTTGAGGGCCTTGGTGAACACGCTCCCCCCCGGCGGGGGGGCTGCGGGGTTCTCATCCTCCTCCGAGGACGCCTGCTCCTTGACCTTCGCCATCAGCTCCCGGCGCCTCTGCCACTTGGCGTCTGCCCGGGCATCCAGGCGGGCCTCCTCCAAGCGGGCTGCAGCCGAGGGGGACCTGGGCATCGGCAGCTCCTTCTCGTCCTTCGCCAGGAGCATGGGCGTCCTCCTCCGGCGGGTTCAGGAGCTCCAGGAACGCCCCTGGGGGGCGTGTCAGGGCCTTCGGCACCTGCGCCACCCCAGGGGCTGCATCTTCCATCGGCTCATCCTCTGCCTTGCGCTTGGCCGGGATAAGGGGGGCCTGCTCCAGCTCATCTGCGCTGGAGAAGAAACGCTCGTCAGGTGCCTGAGGGACCTCAGCAGCCAAAACGGTCCATCCTTCTTCCTCCCTCTTCACGAGGCTCGCCAGGTACTTTGCCATGGAGGCCTTTGCCTTAGCCTTGGCCTCTGCTACCGCGGCACCAGCGTAGGCGGGGGCGTACATGGCTTTGAGAGTAGGGGAAAGAAAGATTTCAAATCACAAGACAAAAGATCAAAAGGTCCACTTGAGCCAAAATGGCTACGGTTAACGCTTTAGCCCAAAATAAACAAAACTATAAACAAAAAAACATAAGTAACACATATCAACATAAAAATCGGCGCCACCCCGATTGGTTGTATCGATGCCTCCCCAGCTTTAAAGTCGAAGCAGTGGACAAAGGCGTAGGCCACAAACCTCAGGGCCACACGACTCGGCTGGAGTGATCCAGTGGGGTCTGGGGCGAAGGGACAACCAACACCCAAACTTGGTTGATGTTAAAGGGGAGCAAACAAATAAATTTTAGCAGTTACGTGGGGATTTCCCACTAAACCACAATAAGCAAAAATGTAAAATGTTTCCCAACAACAACCATGCAAAACGGGAGGAGGGAACCAAAACTCGATTTAGAAATGGCAACTACCATTCCCCCACAAAAATGTTGCATTCACAAAACCTAGAGACATGGATGACCATAATTACACCCATAGACCCCACCCCACCTGATCTCGGTTGCTTTCTGCCACGGCTCAAAGTGACTAACTTTTAGTGGTTTAATGGAACACCCACTAGTTGGCAGAAAGTGAAAGTCCTAACATCCAAGCACAATGCACCAAAGAAAAGAGTACCAAAGGAACCACCATTATTTTACTAACAGGGATTGAACAAATCAAAAGGCAACGGTTCCTTTGGAAAAAAAAGAACCAAAAGGGCGAAGGGGGGCTGGCTAAATTGAAAAGGGCCGACACCCAGGGCCCTTTAGCGCAAACGATGATATTTGACTCTGTGGGACCTGGGCGCTTCCCAGCCCAAAAAATTGGGCAGCTTCCTGTGGGCGCATGATGAGCGTGACAGAATGAACAACATCGACACCTTAAAACTCAAACAGCAGAACACCTTCGAAACAAAATCATAGACACGAAACACACGAAAAGGCAAGGCTGCTTTTCCCGTTGCAAATCGAGGCCCCGCCACCTCAACGGCGATTTCCACAGCGACAAACAATCGGAGGAGGGGCTTGATGTTCAACCCATAGAAAAAACATACCTCCAAAGGAAAATACCACAACTGAAGCCGCAACCTGTCCATCATCCCTGCAGAAATGGTTCACAGTTTGAAGTCTGCACAAAGGTTGCTTCAATCCCCTTCTTGAGTCACTCATCAAAACCAGGCACGATGGGGGCCTACACAAAGCCACGGTAACAAATCCACACTTTTGGGGCTTCTACGGTCTTCCCGACCTTTTGGATTTGCAGGGAACCGTGGGACACCCATTGGGTTGGTAGAAATGGGAAGGACAGGCCCGGCAAAGGAAAGAACCACATCACTGGAGCTCCGGGCTTCTGGGATGGTGTGGGGTGGGTTACTGCCTGGGCACTTGATGGGTGCCTCATGAGGCTCCACGAGTACCAGGTCACACCTTGTCGAAGTGGGCTCCTGCGCAGCTTCGGCGACCCGGAACGGGGGCCTTCCATTTGGTGAAGACCCCCAGAAAAAATAAAAAAATGTCCAGTAGTGACAAATTCCTTTTAAAAGCAACAAGGGAAAATGTAATTAAACTATTCTTAAGCAAGTGGAAGGGGAGTTTTGTTTCGCCCAATCTGCCCGGTTTCGGGACGGGCCAACTGACGGGAAGACTAAGGCCCAGCTTTCGCTGGGGAAGAAATTGAGAACCTGTTCTGGGCCGATGAAAAAAACGGAGCCCACCCAAAGGTCACATCGGCTGGTGAGTTCGCCTGCAAGAGGAAGTCAACTTTCAACTTCTGCGACAACAATTCACCCAGGTCCACAAGGTCCGCAAAATGAAATCCTGGTGTTTGATCTGGTGTCCCAATCTCTGAGGGGATCTTTCGGGCCGGAACGGGTCCCTGCGAATCTTCTAGCTCGACGTGGCATTTTGGCACGCTTCCCACGGGCCATGTCCATGGCAAATTGAAGCTGTCGGTGCTGGATGCACAACAATTTGAACCCACAAATGAGAGGCGAGCGACGTATTTGGGGGGGTCGAACCCAATTGAGGGCTCTCAGAAACAGGGTCCAACCCCAAGCCTGCAAAGACCAGCCCGCTGCGTCACACCACATCGCAATGCAGACCCTAACCCCTTCTCCGTCCCTCGGCCGTTCTGCCCGTGCCTTATCACAGCCCCCAACAAACGGCAAACAGAAAGCGGGGGCGCTTTGCGCGGATGGGAGCGATTCCTCTTGGCCAGTTTTCCCCGAAGTTCCAAAGGCCTTTGGACCAGTCCGTGCTCCTCTTCTCTGACAACCCCAGTCCAGTGACCTTGGGAAAAAAGGGGAGCCAGCCCTTCATGCGCTGTGCCATCTTTGGGTCCAAACCCAGCCCACATCCATCCCACACCCTTTTCCCACCGCCAAGTTCCCGGAACCCGACACCCAACTTTTCAACCCAAACTACTCTTCTCAACTTTTTTACAAACCCCAGCCCCCAACCCCCCAACCCCCCCCAACCCCCCCCCCCAACCTCCCCCCTTGTTTATCCATCCTTGCACATTATTTTGATGATGTGGATCATCAACATTATCATTATTATTATTACAAACAGTTTTTAAAGAAGATGTAGCTCCAACCCCCCGCCCAAACCTCCCAAACCGCCCACCCAAAACCCCAGCCCACGGGCTCCTCCGAGGTGCACAGGGCCACCGCCACCCCGGTCAGCGCCGCCTCCACCTCCGAGCGCAGCAAATGCCCCGCCACCAGGCCGAAGCGCAGCCCCGCCAGGCGCAGGCGCCACCGCGGCACCCGCCCGAAGAAGTCCTGAGACGGGCGCCGACGGGCGGGGCCATGGGACGAAACGGCCCGGCCCAGGGGGAAGTCCATGCCCTTGGTTGCTTCCTAAAAAGAAAAACAAACAAACATCCAAGGGGGACAGGTAAACCAAACCATCCCAAAAAAGTCCATGTCCTTGTGGCTTTCCTTTTTTTTTGTAACATCCGAGGGTCAAAATCCAACTCGGTTAGCCCCCAGTGAACATCCCAAAAGCCCACCAAAATAGGTTCTAAAATGGGTGGAATGAATGTGCAAAAAGGCACACCCAAACCAGGTGACTTGCTAACTGGGGGAGGGGTCCCTTTAAATTCGACAGGGCACAAGGGAGGCCACTGAGGTGTCCCTTAATTTCATCATGCATGTAGAAATCCTGAATGATAACTTTCATGATCAAAACACAACAAACAGGTGGAAAACAATGAATAAAAGATATGGCCATGGGCTTTTCAAAATCCAAATCGCTTAGCCCCCAGTGAACATCCGATTCTTTTCCCAACCACTAAACTAGGTTCCAACATGGGTGGTGAATTCACCTACCAACCAAAATGGGATCTGGTTTTCATGGCCGGGCGGGGGCCGGAGAGGTGACGATTTCCTCCCTCCGAACGAATTTCGGGAGCCGTTTTTTCAGCTTCCCGCTGGCTGGCTTCCCTTGAAAACACCCCTTTAAAAGGTCCGATACTTTGAGCACCTGGAGAAAAGGCAATGGATCCATCTGGTCTTTGGAAAAACATGACCAGTTTGCCAGGTTGAGACCTTTTGCAGCCCCACCTTTGATTCATTGGGTCGCACCCCTTTTGGAAGCAACACCATCTGGAGTTCTCCACTGGCAATGCGCGAGGCGAAAACGCGCGGGGCTTTGGGAAACAGACAAGCAACTCTTGACTCCGCGAGGACGTGACATTCCAGGGGTGCTTGTACATACCCCTTTTACATACATACCCCTTCACCAAATGGACCCAAAAGGCCTGCTGATGTTCATACCCCTCTCCCCCAAAGGGGTATATTACACCCCTTATAAAGTGGGTTGGACACCAACGAAGCAAAGGAACCGGTATGAATAAGGGGTATGTACTTCCACCCTTGGAGACATGCATTGTCGCCTCGGCGATCTCTAGATTGATGCCCAAAGTCTCAAGGTAATGCCCTGCTGCGAGTTGTTAAGTCAATCAGCAGCTTGTGTTTGGATATCCAACAAGGAGCTGGGGACCTTTTCTTTCGAAAACATCCACTGTGAGTTTCCCTACAAGGATTCCAGGTTCATTCCCACTTGAGAACCAGGTCGATTCCGAAGAAGGGAGAACCGCATTGAAATATCACTGTTGCTTGCCATGTCGACTGAGTGCCCTCTGGCATAGGGACTGTTGAAGGGGGCATATGCTCAATAGAAAATACAACTCCTTCAGATAAAGGTGGGGTGAGAAAAAACAACAACACATTCCTTGAGATTCAGACGGGAGTTCCCTATTTTGGGGGCGAGTTCGCCCCGTTTTCCTTGGGAGTTTGCATGAAACCTACACAAAGATACAACATAGCACCTCCCTTTTTCCTTGCGATGTCTTCAAATGAAACAAATCTACTCGGTAGAGTGCAGTAGCTTGTCCACCCCCTACATCTGGCAACATGTTTTTAAACAGGAAACCTCGCAAGTGGTACATTGTGACCCCATTCATCCCATTCCCCAGCTAAACAAAATCTAAATGATCAACCCTCTACATTTTGGCAACACGACCTCTGCTTTTGGCAACATGAATCGTCACATAACTCCCATTGCCAGGTAATTCAAGAGTCCAACCGGGTCCATCCAGTAGAGAGGTTAGAATAAGTTTTATGCAGTCTATTTTAGTAGGGGACCCCTCCGCCAACAACGGGGGTGAGAAAGGGCACCAATTGCTGGGGGACCTAGTTCCCCAATCCCAATGAGTAAATAGGGCCCACTTTTGGACCTCATAAGATTGAGCTTCCAGGCCTGGGGGGACTACTGAAAAACCAAGGTTCCACTCCCCTTCCGGCTTCGGCATTTTGTCATTTGGGTGTGGCTCAAAATTGAACGGGAGGGGCAAACAGGTTTTGGTCCAGGTGTCCACTTACCGATCGGGCACCCCATTTGGGAAATTTCCGGCTTTTGGGTTGCCACAGCCATCTTCCGGCCCCTTGGGCGCCTGCATGGCCAGCGCCTGCGCGGGCTCGCAGGGGTCCCTGGCCGGGTCGAAGTGCTGCGCCAGCCGCAGCCACCGCAGCTGCGCCGCCAGCGGCGCCACGCCTCTCGCCGGCACCGCGGAGTCCAGGTCCACCAGCACCAGGCCCGGGCCGAACTGCGCGAGACACGTGGAACCCGAAAACAAAGACCCGCCCTGACCCATTTGTTCTTGTATTCATTTGACCCCTCTGCAAAAAGGTTCACCTTTTTGTGGGTTTAGTGGAAAACCCTGTGATTCCCCAAAAAGTCAAAAGGTCTAAAGATCCAACCCAATAGCGGTCAGGTAACCCCCTGACCTCGCTTTTTGGGGTTGTATCTATTTGTTTGTCTTTAGTTGTTCGTATTTATTTGTTTCTATTTATTTGCTTGTATTTATTTGTTTGTTCGTAGCTATTTGTTTGGGGGGTGGGGATATCCTTGAAGGGGTATACATGGGGGTGGATCAAAAGGTCCTGTACATAGGATGACCATTGAGGGAAACCAGTAAAAAGATCTGAACCACCCAATATCGGAAACGCTACCCATGGTCATTGGGGGGGGGGGGGGGGTAAGGGAATATTGTTTTTAAACAACCACCTTTGGCCTCCCTGCAGGACTAGGTCTGGTTGTTGACCTTATTTTTGATTGACAAGTATGGCATGCCTTCATTTTGGACCTGTGGGTTCCGTACCTAGAAGCAACTTCTGAGGGGGCAACTCGCCAACTAACAAACTGACTCGAACTTAACGTTCTGACTAGTAATCTCAGCAACTCACAGACTCATGAAAACACTTTGCGAAGTAAGCACATTGACTAGCGTTCATCTTTCCAAGTGCCGCCTTACCGTACCCGTCTAGATGCACGGGGAGAAAGGGGCAAGCCAATGTCTGCTTGGGGAATCAGCACTCCACGCAGATGACCAAAGCTGACCAAAGTTTCGTATGTGGGCCAAAGTCCTTTTGACACATTTTTTCGATAGCAACAAGGGTGGTCTCAAGTGCTCTCTGCTTCGAAATCCAGGCTTGGTCTTGAGTGATTAACCAAACGCCCAGAGCTGTCGTTGAGAAAAGGGACTCACACTTCGGACAGCTTCGGGACCCATTCTCAGTTGCCAAGCGACGGGGGGTAGAAAAGGGAACCCTTTTTCATGGGAGCTGGGAGGGGAGGGAGGGGAGGGGAGGGAGGGGAGGGAGGGGAGGGAGGGGAGGGAGGGGAGGGAGGGGAGGGAGGGGAGGGAGGCCCATAGACCCCGCCCCACATGATCTCGACTTGCTTTCTGCTCCCCTGCTGCAAGTTTAACTTTTAGTGGTTTAGTGGAAAACCCAATAGTTGGCAAAGAGTGAAAGTCCCAACATCCAAGCAAAATGCACCAAAGTGATGTAACCGCCCCTCACCCATTCACTCCCAAAAAACCACCTTAAGAAAAACCTAGGGGATGACCCTAGACCCCACCCATAGACCCATAGACCCCATAGACCCCATAGACCCCACACCCATAGACCCATAGACCCCCCACCCTTGCTGTCCCCCAGCCATCCCCCGCCTCCGGGCGTCTCTGCTTCAGCGCCCGCGCCAGCGGCCCGCACCGCGCCAGCGCCGTGCGCCGCACGCCCAGGCGCCGGGCGCGGGCCGCGGCGGCGGCGCCCGGGGCGCCGGCGGCGGGCAGCAGACGCAGCACCAGCTGGGCGCCCACCAAACCGCAGATCTCCTCTTCCACTTGGGTTGGTCAATATTTCCTTCAACCCCAAACTGGCCATGGGTATTTTTCCCATTTGGTGGTGAACTTCCATTTCATTAAGACCCCAGGGTGATAAATTCCATTTTTTCATTACCAGCGGAGAAGATCCAGCAGTTTTTTTTCCAGTAGTTTTATTCCACTGGTGATGAATTCCAAATTCCACTACTACTTAAAACTCTTGGAAAAAAATGTCCAATAGTGGAAAAATCCTTGTAAAACCAACAAAGGAAAATACAACGAAGTCCTCCCGGAGCTTTCTTTTGGGGCCCCTGTTCTCGGGTTTCGCAGAAAAACCTGACTTCTTGTTTGGTTGGTGTGCCCTTTTTGAAGGGGGCAAGGGAAACTCCTCTTCCATTTGGTTAAGACCCTGGGAGAAAAATAAACATATATGTCCAGTGGTGATAAATTCCCTTTGAAACCAACAAGGGAAAATAACAAATACTCTTATAAGCAAATGGAAGTCCTCCCGGAGCTTCTTTTTGGCTGTTCTCGGGTTTCACGAAAAAGCCGGTTCTCGGGTTTCTTGGGTTTTGCGGGGACCTTTGTGACCTTTGTTTTTTGGTTGGTTGTGCCCTTTTTGAAGGGCAAGGGAAACTCAGCTCGATGGGCGTCAGCGCCACCCGAAAGGAGTCCTGTGGTTCTGTTCGTTCTGGTCACATTGAAGCCGGCAAGGGGCATTTGCAAGCGGCAAAGGTCCACCCCTCTACATCAGCTTGCCCCCCCCCAACCAAAAGATGTCTCATTCTGGTGCAAACAAATAATCATCATCATGGCCTGGGGGGTAGGGGGGGGGGGAGCCCCATGAAATAATCAGCCCCCAAAACTCGGAACCATAATCATAAGACTAATCCTAATCCTCATGCACCAATAAGACTGCTAATCATAATCCTAATACCAACAAACACTGTCATAATCATCAAGATGCTAATGATGATCCTAATATAAATAAAACAATCAAACACAAACAACAACAACTGGATAACCATAACAGTAATCTCACACCAAACAACCCAACATGTCGAGATCTGGAGATCTGGTCACATGGTTGAATGTTAGGTGCCCCGAGCGCAGAGCTGTTGAGGCCACACATGGCCACCGTCTCCGAGGCAAAGATTCGGGTCCGCGTGCCAACGGAGCCGGGGCCAGGATCCATGTGGTTGAATCCAAGACACTCTTTTCACAACCCCCGACGAGCATCAAAGGTAGACAATCAGGCGTGGGCTCGCGGCTGATTCTGGCTAGGGGGCGAAGCAGTCACAGGCAGCCGTGTCTACTTGCTGACTTCAAGTTTAGATGCTTGGCAATAGCCAGTACCTTCTGGCAAAGCACGCTTCTTCGGGCCTGCCCTCCCAAACCCTTCATTTGTTTTACGCCTAAAACAACAACACCAAACTGGATACTCATACCAGCAACGATCATCGTAATACAAAAAGAAGAAGAAGAAAAAAAAAACGCACCAGATACTGGAGTCATAATGGTAATGCAAAAAAGACCGCCAAAAAACCAGAAGCGCGCTGCCAAGAGGTTTCTCCCATCCTGCACCAGCTCCAGCCCCAGTCCAGTCACCCAGCCGTGGGAGTTCACCACCAGCACCGGCTTCCTCCCGGCCGCTTCGGTCTCCGCTTGGAAGGCCTCCCAACCCGAGGGCCAACTGGGGATGGGGGGAGGGGAACCCCCGGACCTGAAGACGTCCATGGGAGTCTTGGATGAAAAGTCCGCCAACCTTTGGGGAAATCCGCCGACCCCTTCTCCTCAAAGGGGGAGGCGCACGGGAAGGGTGGTTACAGCACAAGTCCAAGGTGGGTTGGTAAATGAGCATATCCGAAGATTCAACATTATCAGCGTAAGCAATACCGTCATCGTAGCATCCTTTGCACCTCAAAGATGTCTTTCTACACCTTTCAAGTGTGGGGTTAGAAAGCATTGGTGATGCAGAGGATGCTACGATGATAGTTATTTTCCGAGCTACTATTATCGTTGTCATCCTTATCTTTCTCCTATCTGATCAGATCTGTGTCATATACGTTTCAAGCGTGCTGTTAGACCCGGTTGGAGATGCAGAGGATGCGTAGTGATGCCGATGATGATGGCGATGATGACGACGATGATGATGACGATGATGATGATGATGACGATAATGACCACCATCATGGTGATGATGACATGGTCATCATCATCACACAAAAGTCCCGTTAGACCCGATTGGAGATGCACAGGGTGCGTAGTCATCATTATCATGATGACTGTTGGTGATGCAGAGGATGCACGATGATGGTTATCATCGATGATGATAACGGTGATGATGAGATTGGAGATGCAGAGGGTGCGTAGTCATCATTATCATCATGACTGTTGGTGATGCAGAGGATGCACGCGTAGTCATCATTATCATCATGACTGTTGGTGATGCAGAGGATGCACGATGATGGTTATCATCAATGATGATGACCGTGATGATGACCATGATGGGACGGCTATCCTTATCTTTTTGATGACCGTGATGATGACGATGATGGGCCACGGCTATGATGAGGATCCTTATCTTTTTCATATACGATTCAAAAGTCCCGTTAGACCCGATTGGAGAGGCAGAGGCAGTCATCATTATCATCATGACTGTTGGTGACGCAGAGGATGCACGATGATGGTTATCATCGATGAGGACGCACGATGATGGTTATCATCGATGATGATAACGGTGATGATGAGATTGGAGATGCAGAGGGTGCGTAGTCATCATTATCATCATGACTGTTGGTGATGCAGAGGATGTACGTGTAGTCATCATTATTGCACGATGATGGTTATCATCGATGATGATGACCGTGATGATGACGATGATGAGCGACGGCTATGATGAGGATCCTTATCTTTATGTTTTTCATATCTTTATGTTTTTCATATACGATTCAAAAGAGATGTGACGGCTATGATGAGGATCCTTATCTTTATCTTTTTCATACACGATTCAAAAGTCCCGTTAGACCCGATTGGAGATGCAGAGGGTGCGTAGTCATCATTATCATGATGACTGTTGGTGATGCAGAGGATGCACGATGATGGTTATCATCGATGATATGCACGATGATGGTTATCATCGATGATGATAACGGTGGATGATGAGATTGGAGATGCGAGGGTGCGTAGTCCTCATTGTCATTCATACGGTTGGTGATGCAGAGGATGAACGATGATGGTTATCATCGATGAGGATGACGTGATGATGACGATGATTGAGCGACGGCTATGATGAGGAGCCTTTTTCTTTATGTTTTTAATATAGATTCTCACGCATCTCATAGACCCGATTGGAGAATTGCAGAGGTGTGCGTGAGTTCAGCATTTATCATGGATGACTGTTGGTGATGCAGAGGATGCACGATTGATGGTTATCATCGGTGATGATAACGGTGATGATGAGATTGGAGATGCAGAGGGTGCGTAGT